CATTTTCGCTACTAACGTCACTTTGTCCATCTCTTATTTCCCCCCCTTCTCTTTGAAAAAGGCCGTCTTAGTTTGAAGGGATAACCTAACCCTGCCACCCAGTGTTCGAACCCAGGAATTGAACCACAGTTCGTAAATTGAGACGTGGTCTTGTGCAATGCCGTACACTTCTGAAATTACCTAGTTTCAAGGGTCGACAACAACTATTGTCTTGTTTGGTTGAATTTAGAGCATTTTGGGATTCGGGAGCAAATCGAAGTGTGCAGAGAAGAGCTCTGAACGGTGGGAGACGAGACAATAACAGCAGCAGCGTTCATCACAAAGTGGCAGCGACGTCACCACGGCGCCGCTTGTGCGATTTGCACGTCAAGGCCACGTGAAGTGTCGAATGCCCGCTGGCAAGAGGTCATTAAACACACACCCGGGTGCTGTGGGTTGGCTGAGATGACTGACTGGCGGATGCACCGACTGTGGTCTCCACGGTGCCAACTTGCTGTGCTTTAGCCACACGGCGTGTTCCGCTCGTTGTTGTGAGCGTCGCTCCTCTGCCCTCCGTTGTTGTTGGTGGGCGACTGCCTCCAGCTGCCCAGCGGCGTCCTTCACGAGCCTCGTCCACAGAGGCCGATCTTGACACCGCTGGTACCGGTCATCGGCAAGTCCACTCTTTTGCCCGCCTCAGCAGTTGTTTCGTGCTGTGGTTGTCCCACCTGATGACGGACGCTTGTGTTGCGTCCGAAACATCGTCATTAAATGTATTTTGTTTTATACCTACGTGACTTTACCGAAAGAACCAAAGAGTATGGGTCCCTGCAGTCACGAAAACTTCTAATCTAGATTGAAGTCCACTCAGCACCACGTCCTGCTGTACCGCGTGAGCTCATCTCGTCTTTTGCCGCTACGCACAGCAGGCGAACACACACATTTGGCCGATCAATGCGAAAATCCATGTGGAGGGAAAATCGGAGGACCCGGAGAAAAATCTGTGCGGAGAATTCTCAAGCTCTAATTATGCATCTTCTTGGTTCTTTCGGTATTTTATTTTATTATATTATTTTATTATGTTTTATTTTTATTATTTTATTACTTCCCTTCTACGTGACTTTACCGAAAGAACCAAGAAGATGAATCCCTGCAGTCACGAAAGCTTTAAATCGAAATCTAATTATGCAGCAGGCGTCAAGGTCTGGATCGAACCCACGACGTCCTGCACACCATGCGAGGTAGTTAACATCTCGCTACCGCTGCGCCCGATACAAGCAATAAAAAAAAAATTGTCGTTTAGATTTGTATTTAATATTTTTTTACGCAGATGGCCGGGAATCATTTCGCCAGTATCCTGTAGGAGAATGACAGCTGAATGAATGAATCGATTGCCTTTGAACGAAACAACGCTGGGCACTTAGCGCGCTTTGACCACGAGGGGGCGCAATTGAATCAGATGTTTGGGGGGAGAAGCAGAAGAAGCAGGAGGACAAAGTCACCGACTGGCACCAACTTGGAAGAGCCGCGCCACCTCGAGGAGTTTGAAGAGAGAGAGGAGAGGGGGGGGGGGCTGCCCCGGGGGGGGGGGGCTGCCCCAAGGATTGCGTCACCGTAGCGCAGTGCGGTGATCGCCACTGATTTGTGTTGTGGCTGTGTGTTGTGGCTGTGTTGTTGTTGAGTGTTGTGGCTGTGTGTTGTGGCTGTGTTGTTGTTGAGTGTTGTGGCTGTGTTGTTGTGGCTGTGTTGTTTTGGCTGAGTGTTGTTGTGGCTGTGTTGTTGTGGCTGTGTTGTTGTGGCTGAGTTTTGTTGAGTGTTGTTGTGGCTGCGTGTTGTTGTTGAGTGTTGTTGTGGATGTGGTGTTGTGGCTGAGTGTTGTTGTGTCTGTGTTGTTGTGGCTGTGTTGTGGCTCAGTGTTGTTGTTGAGTGTTGTTGCTGTGTTGTTGTTGTTGAGTGTTGTTGTGGCTGTGTTGTTGTTATGGCTGAGTGTTGTTGTGGCTGTGTTGTTGTTATGGCTGAGTGTTGTTGTGGCTTTGTTGTGGCTGAGTGTGTTTGTTGTTGAGTGTTGTTGTGGCTGAGTGTTGTTGTGGCTGAGTGTTGTTGTGGCTGTGTTGTTGTTGAGTGTTGTTGTTGCTGTGTTGTTGTTGTTGAGTGTTGTTGTTGTGGCTGAAGTGTTGTTGTTGTTGAATGTTGTTGTTGTGCGCTACGGACCTGGCGATCCGGGTTCGATTCCCGCTCACGGCCACCAACACCAGGTGACGAGTATCTGAAACCGGTCCTGGGCCTCTCCTAAGTCGACTCAGCCTCAAATGAGAACCTGGTGCGGTGTGTAACATTATCACCACTGGGGAGACAAAGGCGGCCGAGCGTGGTGCTGGCCACCCACCCCCTCGTGTGCCACAGTGCCGGCCTTCGTAGGTGCTCGCTAACAGCACTTGCCCCAACAATCTGTAGAGGCTATAAAGTGGGAATCTTTGTCTTTGTAACCTCAATGTTGTAGCCCCACACTGGCTGCTCGTGTTTGGTGACACCCTGAAGCCTTCAAATCTGCTAACGTGATGAGCTGCAGGGCCAAACAACGTGCGCGACTGACATTGGCAGAGGCGAGAGAGGGCCTTCGTCCCACGGCATTGGCAAGGGGCTCTTCTTTTAATGATCAATCATCCTCAACTTAGAGGCGGTTCAGTCTCGATCATCCTCAACTTGTCAATAAAGTGAAGAGTCGGCTAGAGTGTGGCACGGCTTGATTCGTGCGGCATTGCAGTGGGAATAAGTTGGTTTAGTGGCACGTTCAGTCTGGAAACATTCTCACTCTGATATCATTATTATCGAGGCCCCATGGTGAAGCGTGCAGTTTACAACTATTGTATTATTCACCATCGATCTGTGTGCTTACGAACAAACCTCGCCTAGTATATATTGTACGTACTATGTATGTATATATTCAAGAGCCGAATGGCTCACAGGGCTATACCAAATAAATGAAACTGAATATAGAGTGTGCGCTATACATGTATAGTATATATAGTACATGTTTTATATAGTACATACTATATATGTAGAATAGATATAGTACATACCATATATGTAGAGTATGTACTATATATACTTTTTTTCTCACCAGGCAGTTAGTGACATTCATGTGTTGGCCTTTTGTTAACTGTAAGTTTTGTTTTAAGTGTCTTAATCTGGCTCTCTAATGTCCGTGCACGGTGAATGAATGATAATAAGCTGTTGACAACACGACGAGAGAAATTCCGTGACAACAAAACCTCGGCAGTTTTCGTTTGGGTTTTTTTTTATTGTCGGGCATCAGAGAGGGAAAACAACAACAACAACAACCACAACAACGAAAAGAGCTTCATAGCTCATCGGATTCCTCTTGCAAGTCTACAGCAAGATTCTGATGATGTATGCCCGTGGCTCTCTCGCTTGTGAGCTGGGAGAGGCAGAGAGAGAGGGGCTCGCTGGAGAATGATGGCCAGGGACGCACAGAATGCGCGCCCCTTTGTGGCGCTGCGGCTTACGTAATGCCCCAGGAACGCAGGAGGCTCAAGTGGCAACAATGGGCTTTGTCAATGAACCGCTCGCCCCCCCAACCCCCCCACTACACCACACAACCCCCCACCACACCACACAACCCCCACCACCACACCACTCCACCCCCCCCCCCTTCACAACCCCCCACCACACCACACCACCCTCCACCACCCACACCACCCCCCCCACCACACCACCACAACCCCCCCCACCACACCACACCACCCCCCACCACACCACACCACCCCCCACCACACCACCCTCCACCACACCACACCACCCCCCCCCACCACACCACCACAACCCCCAACCCCCCCACCACACCACACAACCCCCCCACCACACCACACAACCCCCCACCACACCACCCCCACCACACAACCCCTCACCACACCACCCCCCACCACACCACCCCCCCACACACCACACCACCCCCACCACACCACCCCCCCACACACCCCCCACCACACCACCCCCCACCACACAACCCCTCACCACACCACCCCCCACCACACCAGCCCCACCACACAACCCCCCACCACACAACCCCCCACCACACCACACAACCCCCCACCACACCACTCAACCCCCCACCACACCACTCAACCCCCCACCACACCACCCCCCACCACACCACCCCCACCACACCACACAACCCCCCACCACACAACCCCCCAATACACCACCCCCACCACACCACTCAACCCCCCACCACACCACCCCCACCACACCACCCCCACCACACCACTCAACCCCCCACCACACCACCCCCACCACACCACCCCCACCACACCACACAACCCCCCACCACACCACCCCCACCACACCACACAACCCCCCACCACACCACCCCCCACCACACCACACAACTCCCCACCACACCACCCCCACCACACCACTCAACCCCCCACCACACCACCCCCACCACACCACACAACCCCACACCACACAACCCCCCAATACACCACCCCCACCACACCACTCAACCCCCCACCACACCACCCCCACCACACCACTCAACCCCCCACCACACAACCCCCCACCACAACCCCCCCACCACCACACCACACCACCCCTACCACACAACCCCCCACCACACCACCCCCTACCACACAACCCCCCCACCACCACACCACACCACCCCTACCACACAACCCCCCACCACACCACCCCCTACCACACAACCCCCCCACCACCACACCACCTTGACAAGTGAAACGGCGTCACCCGTTACGGCCGGCGCCGGGGACCCTGATTCACATAACGCGTTCACCGACCTAATTAACATAACGCTCGGCGGTGCTCATTAGCATAAGTGAGGCGTGGCGATAGGGGGGGGGGCGTGGGCAGCATCGGCGACACGATTGGCCAAAACGATCGCGCGCGCTCATTAGCATAATTTACGCGCGTAATTTATGCTAATGAGCACCTACCCCGTTAGCGAGGCCACGCCCCCGTCGCTTTATGTTAATGAGGTCGCCGTCCGGGCAAGATGGAGGGAGGCATTGCGGCGCTGGCGGCAGCGGCGGCGATGCTGCGCTGATGCCCAGACCGGCGGTGACGACCATGCCGACTCCTCTTCTTCTCCTGCTGCTGCTGCTGCTGGTGATGATGATGATGATGGTGTCATCATGGAGGAGCTCGACTCTGCTGCTGCCGCCGCTGCCGCTGCTCTAGGCGGACAAACATGCCGAAGAGAGGCAACGGAGGGCTGCCTCTCCCCAGCGGGTGGGAGGAAGCGAGGGACTTTGACGGCAAAGTGTTCTACATTGACCACAACACCAAGCAGACGAGCTGGATCGACCCCCGCGACAGGTGAGTGAGGGTTGTTGTTGTGGTGGTTGTTGTGGTGGTGGTTCGCCCGACTCCTCTGCCCGTGCGAAGTCGCTCTGCCACAACGCCGTGGTGGATGAAGTAGTTGTTGTGGTTGGAAGTTGTTGTTGGAAGTTGTTGTTGGAAGTTGTGCCGGGGAGTTCCACTCCGGGATGAGTGGGATTTGTTGAACCTGGAGGAATCCGAAGAGCTGTAAAGCGCTTGCTGCTTCACAGCTGTCCAGGGCGCGCTCTGTGGGCGTTGAGCTGCCAGTGGACAGCGGCCTGACGCGCGGCTTCGTGTCCCACTACCAGATAGCTATAGTACTGATACTATAGTACTGCTGCTATAGTACTGATACTATAGTACTGCTGCTATAGTACTTCTACTGTAGAACTGTTCCTATAGAACTTCTACTATAGTACTGCTCCTATAGAACTTCTACTATAGTACTGCTGCTATAGTACTGCTACTGTAGAACTTCTACTATAGTACTGCTCCTATAGAACTTCTACTATAGTACTGCTGCTATAGTACTGCCGCTATAGTACTGCTGCTATAGTACTGCTGCTATAGTACTGCTCCTATATTACTTAAACTATAGTACTGCTCCTATGGTACTGTACTTCTACTATTGTACTGCTACTATAGAACTTCTACTTTAGAACTTCTACTATAGTACTGTTCCTATAGTACTGCTGCTATAGTACTGCTGCTATAGTACTGCTGCTATAGTACTGCTACTATAGTACTGCTGCTATAGTACTGCTACTATAGTACTGCTGCTATAGTACTGCTGCTATAGTACTGCTGCTATAGTACTGCTGCTATGGTACTGCTGCTATAGTACTGCTGCTATGGTACTGCTGCTATAGTACTGCTGCTATGGTACTGCTGCTATAGTACTGCTGCTATAGTACTGCTGCTATAGTACTGCTGCTATAGTACTGCTGCTATAGTACTGCTGCTATAGGTACTGCTGCTATAGTACTGCTGCTATGGTACTGCTGCTATAGTACTGCTGCTATGGTACTGCTGCTATAGTACTGCTGCTATAGTACTGCTGCTATGGTACTGCTGCTATAGTACTGCTGCTATGGTACTGCTGCTATAGTACTGCTGCTATAGTACTGCTGCTATAGTACTGCTGCTATAGTACTGCTGCTATAGTACTGCTGCTATGGTACTGCTGCTATGGTACTGCTGCTATGGTACTGCTGCTATGGTAACGATGAACTCTGGGCACAAGTTGACAAGCGGTGTTCGTAGCCCCCTGAGCGTCACGTGTCGTGGTATCGTGGGCTACGGAGTTGGCGGTGATCCTCTCGTCATTGATGCACAACGACGATGATGATGATGATATGTCGCGATGGTTGTGATAGTTTGACAAGTTGTTGTCATCAATGAGTTTATGATGATCGCGATGTTTTGTTTGAAAGACCGGCGATGCTTGTGCGGGTTATGAGTTGTCCAATCGATATTCTTCAACCCCACGAGTTATTTACATCGCTGGCTTGCCAGTCAGTCGAGACGGGATTACTGATTTAGCAGTTATTGACTTCGTAGTTATTGATTTCGTAGTTATTAACTTGGTAGTAATGATCCTATCGGCTCGGTGTCGATGTGCCGCCGTGATTACCCGGGGTAGCGATGATCATCACCAGGGTGATCCCCCAAACCACAACTTGTTGCTGTCAACTGGGAGTTTTGGTGGTCGTCGTGTCTGCTGTGTCGATGAGTAGCGGGTTAACACGTTCTTGACAATGAAACGTTGTTCTGATTGTCATTGTGCACTATTAGTAAGAGAGTTGATAAAATCTCTAGCGTGCGGTTGTACTCATTGCCCGTGGGTTTACCTGGTGGGTGGTGATGATGCTGCACAGCTATCAACACAATCACACGCGTTAATTTAAAAAACTAAATGTAACTTTTGTGGCGACGTTTCGGGCAATGCCCCTGATATTATTTATGAACGTAATTGACTTGACGTGTTTTACTCTACGGAATTTCACGCAGCATTGCCATTTAGATGTGCCATTGTTAATTTAACAGTTAAGATAACGTTGTTATTAATGTTGTTTTTTATAACTACACAATAAGTGACGATTAACGATAGTGATCGTGCGTTAATGTTGACGTGACATGACGTGACGGACTTTAGTCGCAGCTGATGAACATTTCATTAATGGCAATGCTACTTTTAGTTTAAAGTTTCGAGCTGTCTCCATGTGTTGTAATAAATTAAATCCTGATATTTCACAATACAGATCTGTATTGTAACACCCGTATCTCTGACTTGGTATTGGCGTGAGAGAAGCTGGCACAACCATAACGTATGTTATCAATGAGTTGTGATGAATGAAAGCATGATTATAAAATAGAAATCATTTCTGTAGTAGAATTACTCCAAAAGTTACACGAAACACCAGTGACTTTCTCATTTACTATTCATTGACATCGTTTGCGTAGTTTTGGCACGACCAACCCGATAGAAACGCACTTAATAGCGATGTACAGGACTGTATCGTTGATTTGCTAACTTAAAGTTTGTTTAGTGTTGGTGTGACGTGAGTAATGCATGACAGTACGTGAGAGAGGGGGGGGGGGGATTATTGTGGTGCTTGTAAAATGTTCGTAAATACTGTTATACGGAAATTAAAACGATGTATCATCATTTGACACAATTGCCTTGATTTTTCTTCTCGACGAGAGGAACCTTAATATGGTATTGCTACTTTTAGCGTCACGTTTTCTGTTTTACGTTCATGTAGGGTAATTAATAAGTGTTTGTTAAAAGCGATTAATATGGAAGTATTTCTGAAAGTGCCAATTAACTGGCCGTAACATGTCTGTCGTGACAATGCCATTGTTTTATAAAGGAGTTTAAAACAGCGTCACCATTAAATATTTAGTAATTAAGTTTATCGTCGAATTTGTTTAGTGTGAATGTGGTACATGATCACTTAATGCAATGTAATAAAATAGCAACAGCGCTTCCGTTGTGTTAATATTAAACGCATTGTTTGGCGAGTCTGCGATGGCAGTGGTAGGGGAACGTTTCGGACAATGTCCCTTCTTCAGAGTACTAATAGAGAAGCCACTTTAATCCTTTGCCCTCTCTAGCAATGTGTGCACTATGAAGAAGGGCTTCTTGCCCGAAACGTCGCCTATTATATACTTTCACGGCGACTGTTGTTGATGTACGTCTGTGTTAATATTGCGGGGTTAACTTTGTACCTGCAAATGATTTATTTACACCATTGACATGAACTTGACTTCACTTGATGCAGCATTGTTGAAGTTAAAACCATACACCATTGTTACTTTTAACTTGAAGTTTGCTTTGCGTGCCGTGTAAATGTGTTTGTGATAAACTACTACAAGATTATTGAAGTTAGCGATGGTAATGATCGTGTTAATTAAAGCGTTTAATGTAACTGCATGACAGTTTCAGTAGCATTGATTGTCTGGTTGATTGGCATCGTTGGGTTGGCGTTGACATTATTAACACATTGTGAAAATGTGGCGATGAAAAGTACATGTTCTGGTTATTGTACTGTATTAAAAAACGGTGTTGTAATGTCTATTGACTGGTATATTATTTTGAGCTGTGATTTATTGACGTAATAGAAGTTAATACCGTATTATTAAAATAAATACTAATTACAGTATATTTATATAATCAGTTGTGATTCAGTGTAATGACTAAATACATGACTAAGATAGGGTTATGAACATTTGAGAGTTGTATATTAAACACTGAGCTTGGTGCTGTGTTAATTTACTCAAGTTAGCAATAAATACTGCACAGTTGTACAATTCACCTGGTAATTCACTGACTTTTCTTGGACGTAGGTGGTCTGATACAAGTGAATAATGTATTATAAATAAATAAAATATGGTTACATTTAGCTGCAAATGTTGTTTGTATGAATGTTTATGTGATTAAAACATGCTAACGACAGTCCACTACCTAGTACAAGTATTAATTCTTACGTCCGATGTATTGCCCCCTGCCGATGTGTTAATGACATCATTGGAATGCTATTGGCATGCTCGTGTATTTAAAAGCAAATGCGATGTTACACTTACAATGAAATTGCATAGTCGCAAAATAAATGCACCTTTGTTATTTTTATCATCTAGTGTTTGTGTGTGATACCATTTGATCATTAACAACATGGATACATTATTATTATTGCAAGATAGTGAATTATATGATAATTTCTGGAAGTCCAATTGGACTTGAATAATATTGACCATTCTGTAACTTATTGACATCTTGCTATACATGATGTGCTTGATTAGATTGTATGGGAAAGGTGTAATCTTGCCAACATACCAACGTTTTTTTTAAGTTAATTGTTCACAGTCTAGAGAGCAATGTTCATGCCTTTGTCAATCCAGTGCTGGATGAAGGCATCCCCTATGCTGTGTCAGTCACGGAGGTCGTTTGACCATACTTCACCACATTGGTCAGTGCGGGTTGGTGAAGGGGTGCAATTGGGAAAATAAAGGGTCGATATTTTTATCTTTAAATACCCTGGCCACTTGAATGTTATATCTGGGGGGGGGGGGTGGGGGGAGGAGGTTAGTGTTTTGGCCTTTAAAACACAACTTGAAAACACGGCTGGCTGATTAGTTTCCACGTGTTTATCTTTAAAGCATATTGTATTATAATATGGGCTGTTTTGAAAGAATAGGTTTGCCGTTGTTTTTTTTTTTGCCTCCCACGCCACCTTAACAGATTCAATGTTGTGAGTTTGGTACCTGCTAGGCATGACACGACTACCGTCAGTGGCGAGTGATTTATGAGCTGGGCCTGGCTCTTCGTCGTCACCAACGCGCACACTGGTGGCATGGGGAAGTATGGTCAAAACTACCCCCATGACCCACACGACTTGCTGAGGTCTGCATCCGACACTAGATCGACAACGGGTGTGAATTATTCTAGCGATTTTTTTTTCGGTGCGTATTTCATTCTGTGATTGCTTGTGCTTATA